GCAATAGCCAGCCTGCTATTGGCTATTTTAAATTTCAATAGCCAATAGCAGGCTGGCTATTGCACCCACCCACTGCCTGCTGTCAGTCAGCAGAGGAGGACCTGAAGGAGAACTTTCTCCTTCAGGACCAGGAAGTGGAAAAACAATAATTGTAAGTAAATGAAAAAGAATTTTGTTTAACTAATGAATGTCAGATGATTTCACATCGACGTGCAGAGCTGCATGCTGAGGTGATATTTTTTTTTTGGTGAAAGGAAGTAAAGATCCGCTTTGACTTCCACATTTTGATCAATTATACCAGCAATAAGCAGCAGAAATCTCCCCGAGAATATCATTTGTGAGGCGTGTGTCTGTCCTTGAACCTGTCCCCTCCCCACGGAAACTCAGAGTAATCTTTTTTTATGTAAATTGGGTGCATTGTATTAGCAGTCCTAACACAAGGTTAAAGGAGATCTATGAGGGGAGTGATTTCCCTTAGAGCCAACCTGTAACAAAGAAGCTGTCACAGGTTGGCAAACGCATACCGTCGCTTGCTCGCTCTTTTCTTGATCATCTCCCTGCAGAGAGCAGTGAACGTCGGTCACGGCTCCCCGGAGGGATTTCCCCCCTCCCCTCTCCCATCTTCCAGTGCTGACTGGAGGAACGGATGGGTAGAGGGCAGGCACAGCTGGCTCTACCCCTAGACAGGCAGAGCCCGCTGTCAATCAGCCAGCCAAGATCTCGACCAGTATTTTCTGGATCCATCCCAGCTGCAGCGCTCTCGTTATATAGCTTGCTATATACTGAGCTTTGGGTCGCGGGAGGATGTTAGTATATGTCCTCCCGTGACCCTAAAGAGAACTATGAGATAAGGTTACCCCATAGTTCTGATTTAAGAAAGCTTTGTATGGCAGCAATAATTTCCTGTCTTTGAAGAGAAGGGCTCACCTACCTGTCCCACAGAACCTTTCTATGAGAATCCTTTTCAGCAGAAGGCACCCGTCCTACACGTCCGTGTGGGTGTTCGTACTCGTACGGTGACAGGATGGATTCTGTCTGCGTCCGAGCAGGGACACCCACACCCGTACGGACGTGCAGGTCGGAGGAGCGTAGAGCGGCGTACGACCACGTACTCCCATAGAAAAGGGCAGGCTGCTGCGTGTAATCACACGCAGCACCTGTCCGTCCCAGGAGTGGCCCGATAAGGCCATGCAAAACAAATGACAAACGCACTCCAACTCATAACCAGCTTCAAAGCAAGGTGCACATGGAAGGGCTCTATACAGTACAACAGCAAAAAGTTTCCCAGCACACTCACCAGCCAGCATGTAAAAAAACTTGTCTAACTGCTAAGGTTAAAAACAGAGGTTTAGTTACACGTCTTCTGCAGAATATGTGAAAGCCGCACAGCCTCGTCAAGGCACCTCCATATAGTGCGGTCCCAGATCTGTAGGGGCCACACTACTAGCATCTTTTTTTAATTTTTTTATTTGCATTCGTTAATAAAACGTAGCTCTCTCGCCATAATTGGCTTACGCCACTTCCTACCACCTTTCTTCCTCAGAATTTCTGGCCATTTAAGACTATAAATATGATGTTTCTACTTTTGTGTCCATAAGGATTAATTAAACATATTCATTTTATTTACATAATACTGAATAATAGAAAAGGGCTTATTGTGTGTTTAAGTGCTGGCAGTGAATTAGGTTGTAAGATCTTGACCTTGAGGCTGGGTTCCCACCTGGGCGTTCGAGATATGCGCGTATGACGTGCATTTCGGGCCGCGCGGTTTTGCGGTCCATGAAATGCACATCAAACGTGCGTTTACAAGAGCTATCCGTCTGTATCCTAATGGATACGCGTGGAAATACGCCCCAAAGAATCTCCTGTACTTGTTTGGGCGTTTTTCAGCGCGTTTCAACGCGCTGAAATACGCCCGGGTGGCAACGATGCCCATAGGAAAGAATGGGATTTCACTTGCTGAGCGTTTTTCATCGCTTCGATCAGCGCTGAAAAACGCCCAGGTGTGAACCCAGCCTTAGAAATTTGCAGCTAAGATTTTCATCATCCCAACAGTTATGTACAATACTTCTGCTTTAGGTGCACCTAATATGGGGTGATGTGGATTCCAGGATGATGGCGATTCATACTGATCCTACTACGTTTCTATAAGATGGTCACTGGGATGATTTTTTGAAATGGAGACATCTTACTGCACCCTGTGGCATGAAGGTCAGATATATTACATCAACCATTTTACTGACTGGGCAGAATATTATTGAAGACTTATATTTTGTTTCCCAAGAATCTGCTACGAAACATGTGATGTGGATCAGATTGAGCCAGCCCATGACAGCCGTGTCTGTACTCTCAGTGGCAGGCCATCAGCACAATTCTCATTTACTGGCTGGTGGAAGAGTTGTGGGAAGTTTGAGGTTTTGAACTCTGTGAAATGGAAGTTGTATTGCACTATCGTGAATCAGAAAATACACCAGAGGATTTACAGAAATTATGTGCTGGCTCATTGGAAGGATTTCCTACCCGACCCTTGCCGAAGTTTACTCCGTGGTTTCCTCATTACATAACAAGCTTTACTCTCAAACCTCAAACATGTCCTCCTGTGCCAAGTGATTTCTGTTCAAAGATCGATCCCGGTCCCTTCAACCCTCAAGATGTGGAGACCTTTTTGTTCTATGATCCTACACCTAGTCTGTTACAGTTCCAAGCAAATGTTAATGCAGAAAATACCCAGCAAATTGTTCCATCTAAAGACATTGACTTCGCTCGCTGTCCTCCAAATGTGAATGAAAAGGTTTCTGATGGGAGTACACCAATCAGGACATGGAGTATATGTACTCAGAGAGCCAGGAGGGGAGACACTGTTATCCCACCATCAGAAGAACTAGAAGCCATCTTGGATAAACTTCAACTGAATCTCTTCCACAGGGGAAGATGGACAATTTCACCATCGGTCTGTGGAACTCTAACGCTGGAAGAAGTTTGGAGGAAACTGAGCCGATTGCTAAGAGATCAGGTCCTTCCGAGCTGTAATGCCACAATTCAAAGAGATATCAACCAGATATGGATATACTGTGACTTGCGCTATTGTGAGCATGTCGGCACCTTGGTTAAATCTGAGCTCAAGCTCTCTGGTAATATTGATTTGTCTGTACGGAAGCATGGGACAGTTTTAAGTTTGTAATGCTCAAAAACATTGGGGTTGATTTTATAAAGGGACAAAAACGGTAAACTTTGCAAAGAGAATGGCCATTTGTCTAAAATCCCCCAAGTGTTTGTGTGATTACTGCTAAACGAAGGGATCAGCCGATCTAAACTCTGATCCTTTCCTGCAGCAGTGGTCACATGACCAAGTGCCTAGGCTTTCAGACATGTGACCTACAGTGAATGGAGCCTGGAGCAGTATTTTATATAGGAGAGATACGTTTCAGTCCTGCTGGTAATTTTTATCTATCCATAACTGCAAACCTGTAACCATTACTTCATAATAGAGGTGCACCGAAATGAAAAAAAATGTCACGCCGAAGCCGAAAATGTTTTTTATTCCAACTTTTTCCAATTTTTAAAAAACATTTTATTGTTATTTATTTTTTATAAAATTAAAAATTTTTTAAATACTTTTTCTTTATTTTTATTAAATATTTTTTACTTTACTTTTAGGAGCTTTGGGGAAATATTGGGGGTCTAAAAAGACCCCTGATATTTCCCTTTTAACATAGATAAAGAGATTGAGGACTATATGTCCTCAATCTCTTTTTCTGCAGCCCCTGTTATAAATGAACAGGAATGCTCCGATACTTATCCCGATAGTGGAAATTCTGGGAATTAGGAAGGCTTCCTGATTGGCCGTGAAGCCGACGCCATGCTCCCTCATCACCATGGAGCTTGCTTCCTGATTGGCCAGCTTACTGACCAATCAGGAAGGCGACAAAGGAGCCCAGCTTCCTGATTGGTCAGGAAGCCGGGGCGCGTTTTTACCCACCCTCCCGGCTTCCTGATTGGCCGAAAAGACGTCTCCATAGGGGACGAGGTAGCATGGATCCAGCTTTTCTGCTAATCAGGAAGCCGGTCGGTAAGTCATTACACGCCGCCTTGCTTCCTTAATGGGATTCAGTATGGGCGAGTACCGAGAAAAAACTATCGGTACTCGAAAAACCGGTGTCTGTGCATCTCTAGTTTTATTTATGTTTTTGTTTTTTAATTATTAAAAACAATCGGCATATAGATTAAACATTTTTTAACTGGAACGGCATTTAGACGTAATTAATTGTTTCACACTGACTTTTTTTTAAATGTGATGGTTTGCTTTTCTCATTCGATATGTTTAATGTGTGTAAGCATTTTTTCTGTCTTACTACTTAATGTTCATTTTCTGTTGTAAACATTTTATTTATGTAATTTTTTTTTAATGATTTAAAATGTTTGCACAAGTTTACACACATTTGGGAAAGGTTGAGACCGACGGTGTAAAATCTGACAGAAGTTAAACCTCTGCACTATTACTTGTATACATTATAATGGATGGATTTTGCATTTTTAAAGACACATAAGACCAAAGAGCATCAAATGCTGTACGAACAGGTGCAGCTAATAGCTCAGTAGGCATTCTGGTGCAAACACCGAGTATAGCATTGGGATGGGGAAGGGGGATGAAGACTGCCTTTAAAGGTGCCCATACACTGCACGATTCTCGTACGAGAATCACGGGAAATCCCGCGATCGAACGAGAATTGTGCAGTGTGAATGAAGACGTGCAACCGTTTCTACTGTACGGTCGCACGTCTTTGTCTAAGGAGCATGCTAGAAAACCAGCTGAAAATCTTACGTATTTTCAGCTGGTTTGAACGATGCTCGGGAGACAAATGCCGAACGGGCCGGTGTGCGCACGCGCACACTGCCCGTTCAGCATTGCAGTCATCGGAAGCCCGCCCCTCAGGGGGGCGGGCTTGCGATGATCGCAAGTACGATCTGCCTGTCCAAGATGGGCAGATCGTACGTTTTTTTTAAATTACTTTACAACCATCGCAAGACTAAGGTCTTGCGATGGTTGTAAAGTGTATGGCCACCTTAACCGACCTGTATTTTACATTGTATTTTTTTTGTTTAAGTGCACATTATTTCATATGTATTATTTGTTTTTTAAATGATTTAGAATATTGCTTTTTTATTAAATAAAAATGATGATTCTTAGATTGTTTCCTGTGTGAAGACTTTGTACACTGTATATCTTAAAGGTGCATTGCCAGATGGTGAGATGGGGGGTTTGAAAACAAATGGCTTAACTGACCTGTATTTTAAAATATTTTAGTTTTTTTATGCTACATTAATATGCATGTGATCTGTAAATGACTTTTACAGAAGTAACAGTTTTCCTTTAAATCCAAACATAACCCACTAATTTGACGGTTTCCCAAAAGTAAGCTCGAGTTATTAAATGCCTAATCAAGCATATCAGTGGTGTTTGTATTTACATTCTGTGTCCTACAATGTACATTCAAGATATGCTACTGTCACAGTTGCCATTGTGCTTATGTGAGTTCTCAGTCAATGTTTCAAGCCCTCAAATTTCTGGAGCCATAGTGGGTCACGTGTGCACCACTATGGCAGCTGCAGATCTAAATAGAGGCTAAAGCATGCCAATCAGGCCATACACTAGTCCAGTGTTGAAGGAACCCGGAAATTCTCAGCCAAACAATTACTGAAGCCAATCAGCTACAGTTCCTGTTCGGGTGTGGCACTGTCAGAATTCGATAACCCAAGGGGGGATTTAAACAGCATGGCTGGGGAAATCACATGAGGGAAACGTGTATGGGGAAAAAAGCTTTACAAAATGAAAACTAATGCAGCCACCTCATCTAAGAGCCAGTAAGCTGCAGTAAATGACATTTTTGGGAGGTTTAGTTTAAACCTTATAGGATTCCTTTGCCGAAGTGAGGCAAATAAACTTTGTTTTGCACAGTTACAATATTGCTTCCTTTATGGCAGCTGCCAGATTTCAGCCTGTTATGTTCTGTCTGTAAGGAACAGCTGAAGATGTGTAATTCCCTCCCATTATACCAGGTTGCTAGGTGTAATCCTGGACTCTGACCTCACATCCAGTCGCTGACCAAATCTTGCTGCCTTCACCTCCGTAACCTTTCCAAAATGTGCCGTGACACCAAGCTATGAATTCACTCCCTTGTTATCTCTCACCTCGGCCATTGCAACTCTTTCCTCATTCGCCTTCCACTACACAGGTTATCCCCCCTTCAGTCTATGATGAATGCTGCTGCCAGACTCATCCACCTCACCAGCGGCTCAGTATCTGCCCTTCCTCTCTGCCATTACCTCCATTAGCTTCCCCTCGTCCAACGAACACAATTCAAAATACTAACAACAACATACAAAGCCATCTACAACTCTGCCCAACTAGCTCTCTAACCCCATGTCACAATATTGCCTATGGCCGTCCTCCCTGCTGCTTCCAAGACCTCCGTCTCTCTAGCACCCTCGTCACCTTCTCCCCCCTGCTCGCCTCCAGGACTGGCGTGGTAACAACTTTTGTTTTTATGCACCTTCAGCGGGAGTACTGATGAGCATGGTACAGTGTAGTATGTAAAGTGTTGTTTTGAATGTCAACACTTTGTGATCAGAGGAAAAACCATTGTCTGAAAAGTCCATTCTCCAATGACAAACCGAAATATTGAGCCAATGTTTTTTTTGTTCTCCTTGCAGTGATGCGCCTCACAAAACCAACTTTATTTACCAATATCCCAGTGACATGTGAAGAACGTGACCTTCCAGGTATAATGTTCTTTTCTGCATCAAACTGAAGACGAACTAGAAGGGGAAGTTATGGGGCAAAATAAACGTTTTCTGTACATTTCTGGAATACATGCACATTTACCCATGTTGTGTCTTTTTACAGGCACCTCAAGTATTGAAAGATACCTGTTGATCCTGATAGACATTCAGCTTTACTGAGCTGACAACACTGCCTTCCCTGCACTGAAATAGCAAGCAAAGGAGAAACAAAATGCAGCTGGTATGGGAGTGTTTGAAAATGAGTAAGGGGAAGTGCTGACATAGTTCATGTGTGGAGAACTCGGACAAAGCTGACAACACTGCTTAGGTTTTCAGTGCATCATTGGGAGCGTTGTCACCCCTCCAAAGTAAGCCACTGGATTTCTAGTGGGATCAACAGGTTTGTTTTCTGTACTTCCACATTTCCTCCTGTTAAAAATACTGCTTGATTTGTGAACAGCCTGTTGTTTACACCAATCAGTAGCTTAAAGGAGAATTATGAGGCGAGCGATTTCCACTCATCCTCATAGTTAGAGCAGACCTGTGACAAAGAAGCTGTCGCAGGTCGGCTCTATCGATCGAGAAGTGAGCAGAAACATGCAGCTGATCCGCTCACTTCCCGATCATCTCCCTGCAGTGAGCTGTGACTGTCAGTCATCTCACGGCTCCCCCTCTCCTGTCCGATCCTCCAGCGCTGACTGGATGAAGGAACGGGGGAGGGGGCGGGTACAGCTGGTTCTGCCTCTAGATAGGGAGGGCCCGCTGTCACTCAATACTGTCTGGATCCACCCAGCTGCGGCGCTCTCTGTATATCGCTGGCAATAGCCCGCTATATACTGAGCTTTGGGTCACAGTATATGTCCTCCTGTGACCCTAAAGAGAACTATGGGGAAAAACACTTAACTCATAGCTCTCTTTTCGGTTAACACACAATCAAGATCATCCTTTGTCAAGATAGCTCAGTCCAAAGTTTATACCATAGGGCCTGACTGGAAAGGCTTTCTATTCATATACATATAATATATGCAGTTGGTGGGCTGAGGCAAGTTCTGGGTCCTATGACTGTTTTGCTCATACAAGAAAACCTATCCTGACAGAAACACGGGGACTTCTATTGCTGACTTCCATTCTGCTAATACTATGTGCATGGGATTCTTGCTGACACTGTGGCTTCAATATTTTGAGTCTGTAACCCATAGAAGTTGTGCATCTCAGGACTCGAGACTTTGGTACGCATACTTCCTCAGTCATTGACCCAGGAAGGATTCAAGCCAAAGGATCCGCATGGCTTCCAGGAAAGAATGTTCAAGAGAAGGTCAGCAACAGCAGCCTCCATGTTTTTATAGGAAGGATCATGTTAAAGTCTCTAGTGGATTGGCACAAGCAGACTGTAGATGGCAAAGCATTGGGCTTTGTGCATTATTTAGCACTTGACTCCATTGTATGTTTACAGACTCCCTCTTACAGCAGCAGCTCAGATTATGTAATGTATTGTACTCTGACAACTTGACTTAATGGTCCTATTGTTCCTTTTATAGGTGACTTGTTTCATAACCTCATGAAAGATGACCCTTCTACAGTAAAAGGAGCAGAAATCTTAATGCTGGGAGAAATGTTAACATTACCGCAGAATTTTGGGTATGGTGCTTCTTTACAGCTGCAATGACTTATTTAGTAGCATCACACTATAGTGAGCTTAAAACTGGGTTTAGTCACACTTGTGCTGTTATGTATGCGTTCCTGTAGTTCTGTGCCATCAGTGCTAATTTACTATAGTAGAACGTGTTCACTTTGCAGAGTCAATTTTCAGGTGAAGCTGTGTTCACTCATGGGTGAGGAAAATGTACACTCCTTTCCAATCAGCCTTTGGGTATGTGATGCTTCATTAAAGGAGAACTATGAGGTGAGTGAAAATCACTCACCTCATAGTTCGAGCCGACGTGTGACAATGAAATGGTCACAGGTCGGCTCAATAGATCGGGAAGTGAGCGAACGCATACCATCACTTGCTCGGTTCTCGATCCTGTCACTGCAGAGAGCCGTGACTGCTACTCACGGCTCCCTGCAGGGATTCCCCCCCCCCTACGATCTACGATCCTCCAGCGCTGACTGGAGGAATGGACGGGGGAGGGGACGGGCACAGCTGGCTCTGCCTCTAGATAGGGACACAGGTGGGTTGATCTCAACAGCATTGTCGAGGTTCGTCCCGGCTGCGGCGGTCTCAGTATATCGGGAGCTGTACTGAGCTTCTGGTCACTGGAGGAGGTTAGCATATGACCCTTAAGAGAATTATGAGGAAAAACGCTTACCCCATAGTTCTCTTTTAAGGTACACAGGGCTTACATCACATGCCTGCTTTTCCTCTGTTGCACTTGCTTCTGAAGTCAGTTCAGAACACTGATCAATAGATTAATAGAACAATATAGCAACATTATTGTTATTCAATCTGAATGTGCCTGTTAAAGCATCCTTACTAGTAGGGGGGATTAAGATTTGGTCCTATTTTATTAACCCTTAGATAACTGTAATCAGCCCTAATTAACCCCCCCAACTTCTCCCTTTTTAGCTATTATGTTTCTGCAATTGTTTGTATTACTAGCTATTGACCATTCATATTTAAACTTTTTATTCTTTGGTTACATTTTCTTTATAGTGTCACATTAAAAAATTTGTAAAATAAAAAAAAGCCTTTATTTGATTTGCAATAACTTTTGAAATGTAACAGAATTTAAATTTTAGTTTTTCTTTATAAATGAGAAGAAATTCCAGGATATAATTAACCACTTGCTGACCAGGGTGTTAGGCCCCCTTTCTGGCCAGGCCATTTGTCAGTATTCAGCTCTAGAGTACCTTGACTGACATTTATTCCATCATGCAACGCTGTATTGAAATGGATTTTATACCATTTAGTGTTCTTTTCGTGGTATTTGATCACCACTGGGGTTTTTATTTTTTACTATATATTAAAAAAAATTACCGTACATTTTGAAGAAAAAATACCTGTTTCCCTATGAATTGTGTTGAAACATTTATTATCACCCCAATTTTTTGGTAAAATATAAAAGTCGGGGTCATGTCCACACCCAAAATTGCCCATAGGCGATGCTTTAAAAGCTTTTACCGCTCATCAGTTTAGTGTTATCAGTGATTGATGGCCCTAAAATTGTTGCTCTCACTGTGACGTTCACGGCGATATGTAACATGTGCGGCACAATAGGCGCAACCGTCATTTTCGTACATAGGCACACCCTACGCATCTTTGTGTGGGGACGGGGGACTTAACCCCTTCATGACTGAGGCCTTTTTTTCATTTTTTGTACCCGTGTTATATTCCACATTTTAGGCCTGAAAATTACTTAAAACCCCCCAACATTATATATTTTCTGAATGCCAAGACCCTATAGAATAAAATGGTGGTAGTTGCACATTTTTATGTTGCGCAATATTAGCGCAACTCCTTATTAAACCCCAATATTTAGTGAAAAATTTAATTAAATGCCCCAAAACACAACAAAATACCCATTTTTTTAATGAAATATAAAAGATGAGGTTACAACGAGTAAAACGATACCCAACATGCCCAGGTTACAAATTGCGTGTATCCGTAAAACGGCGAAAAACCCCAGTACCCCAAAAAGTCCATAGACGCTTTAAAAGCCCCCACAAGTCAT